TTTTTGTTTAATTTCTTAATTTTGAAATTGAAATGTAAAATATATAAATATATATATAAAAATAATATTAATATATAGTGGACATAGTTTATGCAAGATAAAACATATATAGGTTTAAATTTTTTTGAATTCATTTCAAAAATAAATCCCATACAGACAAATTCGAAAAAAAATTAATAAGAATATTTGTTTAATAAATTTAGAACTATACCTATCATAATATATATATATATATATATATATATATATATATATATCCTTTTGTTCTCATGTTTTCCTTGTTAAGATTTTTTTTTTTATCAAATGATTTTAATGTCAATAAAATTGGGGTTCTTCTATAAATAAAATTATTTAATGTTAAAATGGAATTGTCTGTTTTTTCTATTAAATTTATATATATATATATATATATATATATATATATATATATATAGATAGATAGATAGATAGATTGTATTAGTGGTAAATATACATACATATGCAAAATATATAAATATATGTTGAATATAATATTTTTAAATAAAAAATTCCAAGAGGAAGAATCCAGGTAAACTCAATGTCCAGGACAGAGTAAGGATATAATTTCAAAGCTTAAACACTAATATTCCATGGTCATAATTTTTTATATTTATATATATATATATATCTATAATATATATATAAAAGGTTTAATCTAATTATATTCATAATTCTAAAGAGGATTTAAATTTTGTTTTTATTTTTTTTTTGTTTTTTCTGATTGTTCAGCTTTTTGAAATTTATTGGTCTGATTTAATTGGATCGTATTTACGATTCCGATGGAATTTCATTATGACCATGGAATATTAGTTTTAAGGAATTTTTTTTATATATATATATATATATATATATATATATATATATATATATATATATATATATATATGGTGACCCAAAAAACGGGAACTTTTTAACAATCCAATAAAACCAAGAGTGATGGAAGAAAATATTTTATTCATAATAATTAAAACCTTAAAACATGCCATTTAAGAAACAATGATGGAATTTTCATTTTTTTAAAAATGACATCCTGTAGATGGCGTCCTCCTGTACGAATGCATTCTTGAAATCTGCTGTTGAGATTCCTCATTGACTGCTGCAAGATCTCAGAATGGGGGATAGAATTTATGTATGTGTGTCATTACCTGTGCGTGTACGTGCATTTAAAACTGTTTATGTACATTTATATATAAAAATTGTGTGTGTGTGTGTGTTTGTGTGTGTGTGTGTGTGTGTGTGTGTGTGTGTGTGTGTGTGTGTGTGTGTGTGTGTGTGTGATTTTGTTTTGAATAAGATATATAAATAAAGTGTAGACTTAAAGATTTATCTGATAATAAATATAACGATTTTTTTCAAAACTCTGCTAATATAGGATAATTAGGGTTTGGTAAACAAAAATGGTTTAGTTAAAGAGTTAATTAGTAATATTTATTAGTATTTTTAAATGTAAAACATTGGATTAAACTATGCAACAAAAAGAGACCAGTTTACCTCGTTATGGATTCCGGGAGTGGTAGATCGAAGCTAAACCGGAAGAAGTAAAAAGACAACACTATATAAGCCGTGAAAAGCCCTATTTTCATTGGCTAACGTTGACTGACATATATGTCAATAAGTCCGGCTTTACTAGGCAGAGGAATACTGTTTATGCAATGTCGCTTTCAAGGAGGCGTTAATGATTTTATCTTGAATCAGGTCAGGTTTTTATATATAGTTTTACAGACGATATGATGCAAAACCCGAAATAGGCAATGAGGAGAGTGCATCACTAAAGACCTCCCTTGATGCATCTAAAATGTATTATCAAACGATATATATATATATATATATATATATAAATAAAATTTCGGTCGAGTACTCTGGAGAATTTTGAAATTTTTGGAAACAGTGACTACTACTGCTGATAATGCAAAGCTCTTCTATGAATTTGAAGACCTCTATCAATTTATATATTTATTCAAAGAATAAACACGCAAAATTTTTTATTCACCAATATCCGACTGATGCCAAATTAGTCTGGTCTCGATCCCGGCTTGAGGCAATCGGATCTCTAGCCACACTGATGATTTATTGATTCAAGAAACAGTCTGTCTGTTTAATTTACACACACACACACACACACTCACAGACATATATATATATATATATATATATATATATATATATATATATATATATATGGGTTTTTAAAAAGCCTTGTTCTCATTGGCTGACAATAAGAACAGTCGATTTTTTTTTTTGTAATGTCGCGGTGCGTAAACGACGCTTTCAAGGAGGCGGCCTGACCATCTTGACTCAGGTCAGGGGTTGATGTTGGAACCGATATGATGCGGAAGAGGCAATTTATACAGTGCATCACTTCAGATAAGACCACCTTTGATGCATCTAAAATGTAATATAACATATATATATATATATATATATATATATATATATATATATATATATATATATATATATAATGAACTCCAGTCGGTTTCGACGTATGAGGATCTGACAGCTTAATTGATTCAGTTATGAAATTTTGTGCGATAATCTTAAGTGGCATTTAAGACCCGCTAGTGATTTACAAAGGAGGCCACATATGGAGCAAATGTGAGGATTGTGGGATGAGATCACTGTTAGATTGGCTGACCTTTTAGATCTTGCTCTCGTTTTTCTTGAAGATGATTCAGACTAGCAGATTGAAAATTGCTGAGTCCACTATATTGTCATCAGCATATCCTCCTTCATTGCAATTTTTTTACTCAATTCACCCAAGAAAGGTGACAATGCCACTAAGACGCAGGATTGATAAAGAAATATCTTAGAAGGAACCACAAAATTAATCCTAAACAGCAAACAAGAAACAAGGTTATGAACTCTTCTCTTCTCTCTCTCTCTCTCTCTCTCTCCTCTATATATATATATATATATATATATATATATATATATATATATATATATGTATATTTAATTTAGTGATGAGCTGTTATTTTTAAATGGATACAGTTTGTAGATGATGTTATTTTATGGCTCCTGAAATAAACATTTCATTTTATTTATTTACATCTTACCAGGTTCGTAAATTTTCGAATTATAGCTTATAGCGAAACTATTCGTCCTATGCGAATTGATTCGAACCTGTCAAATAGGGTTTCACATTTGGTAAAATAAATCTATAAAAAATTCACTCTGCACGGATGTTTATATTTGTTTGGTTATCCGACAGACACCAATTCAATCTCTATTTGTTTCCATCCTGGAATGTCTACCAATTATGTCTAGCCACAAATGAGCTTCGGTAGAAACAGTCTTCTGTGGATGACGTTATATATATATATATATATATAATTGATGCTCAGAAAAAAATAATTGTGAGAGAAAGGTATATTATATTCGCCATGTTATTTATTTTAACATAACCCATTTTTCTAACAATAATTTTCCCCTCTCACCAATAACAAGTTTCCGGGGTTAGAACAACTCAACTAAAAAGACAATGGGAAGAGTTTATGGCAACTCAAGAATTAACAGCGCAATGTTAAATAACTTGGAATTCTTTGGATCAAGTCATTAGATCCTACGAACGCTTTTATCCAAGACATTTTCTTTAAGACATCAGTGAAGAAAACATGGCACAATGTCTCAGTAACAAGTTTACCAGGTCTGGAATTTTATATTATTGCTTTTCGAAAAAAGAAAATTAAACGTTCCCCCTATTGTATTCGTTTCTATTCTTGTGGCATATATGCTGATTCTTTAAGTTTTCGTATTTTCCAGTGATGTGCATAAGATGCCTGGCACGTGGAACTAGAACAATCTACCCCGGTGGATGAAATAAATTCCAATAACCTGAAAAAGGCCAGATCGTACAACGGTACAAAACGTTGTGAACATGACAAGATGAGGAAAACAGTCCGAATTATGTGAATAAATTCCGACTATATTTGTCGATCCATATTATTTTTTTGTTTTTTTGTTTTTTTTTGGTAAAATGAAAGACTTATTTTTTTATTAGTGTTCTTTTCTCGACAGTGTTTTCAATTTCGTTCTTGACTGTTCTCTGACAACTGTCCAGGCGTTTTGGCAATTTCCAAAGTTGCGTTCGCACCAGTCAATAAATTTCAATATTTTGTTTTGATATATACCCATATATATAAATATATAATTCTATAATTAAAAATAAATACAAATAACTAGATTAACATTCATATTTATTTACAGTTTGATGAAAAACACAAATGTGTTGAAGAATAAAATATAACAATACCAAAGTTGTTTTCATAAATATTCGGATGGAAATAATATGTTATCTGTCTCATATCCTCAAAATGTTCATTGTTTAATATAAATTTTATTGCGAAAACATTGACTGCTAGAATAAAGTCTAGCAGCGTGGACATGAGATTATCAGAGCGCGAATCAACCAGTTTCTTTGTGGATATCAATTCCAGATTTGCAAATGTTCAGCTTCTCTTTCTTCAAAATGTTGCTGTATTATTCTTTCTTTCTTTCTTTCTTTCTTTGTTTTTTTGCACGCTTTTCATTCTACATTTCTTTCTAAACTTTCTATTTTTTTTTTTCTTTTCCGTTCTAATGTATTTCCCTCCCTTCATCTTTTCTTCTGTCTAAATAAAAATAAACGTCATTTCATTTTATCTGAGGTTAGTTTCTTTCTTTCTAAATTTTCATTCTACTAATTCTTTTACAACTTTCTATCTTTTTTTTCTTTCTTTTCCGTTCAAACATATTCCCCTATATATTCATATTGCTTCTTCTGTCTGTTGATAAATATCATTTATATTATTTATTATATATATTTATTTATTTATTTATTTATTTATTTATTTATTTAAAACACTTTTTAAAGTTTGTCCTTCCTTTTCTTTTCCGTTCAATGCATTCCCTTTCTTCATCAGGCCTCTTCTGTCTATCCACTAAACGTTCTTTTTAATTTTTTTCTTTTATTTTTTTCTTTTATTTCTTTCTTTTTTTCTAAGTTTTTTTCTATTTTGTTCAATATATTCCTATCTATATCCTAACTGTTCTCCCTTATTTTTCTTTCTTTCTTTCTTTCTTTCTTTCTTTTTTCTTTCTTTCTTTCTTTCTTTTTTCTGTATTTTTTTTTCATATATATTTCTTTCTTTTTTATTTCTTTTATATTCAATATAATCAAAAATTTTCCTTTTGCCTCTTTAGATAACCTAACTGTTGATTTACGTCCTTATCTTTCTTTCTTTCTTTATTTATTTATTTATTTATTTATTTCTTCTGGTCTTTCTAGATTCTTTTTCCGTTCAACGCATTCCCCTCTCTTCATCCTGCCTCTTCTGTCTGTTGATAAACGTCCTTTCTTTCTTTCTTTCTTTCTTTCTTTCTTTCTTTCTTTTTCTTTCTTTTGCTTCTATTTCGTTCAACCCATTCCCCTCTCTCCATCCTAACTGTTCTCTCTAATTTTTTCTTTCTTTCTTTCTTTCTTTCTTTCTTTCTTTCTTTCTTTCTTTCTTTCTTTCTTTTCCTTATAAATTTTATTTAATCATATGAATATTCTAACTTTTTTCCCTATTTTATGCAACATATATATATTTTTATTCCCATCTCTTTCGAGTCTGTACATTTTTTTTTTTAAAAATCTTAATCTTTCTGGGTATATATCTGTCTACTTTTATTTGCGTCATCACATATTTTTTAATTACGGCACCACGACATCATTTTTCTCCTCATTCCGGACCAATTACAGTCTCCAATTCTTCTCCCAGATCACGTTTTCGATAAATCTACACAAATGCCAACTGCCGTACCGAAAACCTCAAATACCTACAATTGAAAATAGCCAATCAAATCGTAGTACAGAATAAAACGTTAACGGAATAACCAATCAGCGTGCTTTATTTGGTGACGGACGAGCGGTTTGCGTCGTCCATGTCGATTACAGTCTTTTCATATAATGTAGCCATGCATCGAAATTACTCTTTAAGAGAAAAATTGCCAGTAAAGGAAGTGGAATAAAAATACTAACGGAAAATACTATATTGTGTGGGGCTGCGAGTAGGTAGAAAATTAACTGTTGATTGCGGCTTAAGAGTGATAAGATTGCTCGCTTCACACACAGAGAAATGGCGCTTGAATTAAACTCCAAATTCTTCTGTCAGCGTACATTGTTTTTGATTACACTTCGGAATGATTAAGTGTATGGTTGGCGCACAAATATTCCATCTTTTCCGACCGACATGTATTTATTTTTTTTTTTTTTTTTCGTTTTGCATTGGAAAACTGAACCTTTTCTATATTGGAAATTTGAAGATTCCAAACTGGGTTGGGTGTGAAAAAAACTATATATGATTGGCATAACATTATTTTTTTTTAGATTTCCATGTTTTCAGTTACACAGTTTTTTTTTAAATCTGGATTCATTTTTTGTTTAAGTTCTTTTTTTATAAATTTAGATTTTTTGTTTATATATATTATTATATAAAATTTATATATAAAGATAGGGGGAAAGACGGCATTTAGGAACATGAGGGGGATTTAAAGACAAAGGAGGAAAGGCAAGGAAGAGGCAAAAATATTTTATAAAGGAAGTGATAGAGATTGCTGTAGGAAGTGAGGGGGAGAGAAATCAAGAAGTGAGGGGGCAACATTTGAACCATGAAGCTAGGATATATAAGCAGGATCCCGAATGATATAGTTAGATGTACCATTTCAATTCTTTATCCCTCAACCCCATTTGGTGTACTTATCCTATATAGACAAAAATCCACTTGACCATATATATATATTTATATATAATATATATATATATATATATATATTTATAAAAAAAAAAGGAAGAAGATACAATAAAACAATTTTTTACGACCCCGTCAAAATGTGTAAATTTCTTTTCATTTTTTTTTTAACCTTTTTGGAAGTAAAGTCTGATGATCCAGAGCCCTGTTAAAAGGGCTGTGAAATAATTTATTACATGGAACCTTAAAGTGGTCTGTTTTTTATTCAAACATATTTGCTCTGAATTTACATTGAGCTCTCTGGATATCATCCTCCTTGGGTTTACCCATACGGATTACCTTATTTTGCATTTTTTATAACTATATATATATATATATATATATATATATATATATATATATATATATATATATATATATATATATATATACAGTAGCGTCCAAAACTAAGGGACAAAATTTTAAAACCTAATATTTGTTAGAAATAACAACTGTGAAAAGCTGAAATTTTGACAACTGGTAGTCGTTATCATCCATAATAACATACTAAAATTTGAATCATTTGCAAAGGATAGAAAAAGAATATAACAATTATTTATTTATTTTCAAAATAGGATCGTCCAAAAGTAAGGGACAAAATTGAGAAAAAACAATGTAAACAGTATGCTATATTCAAATTTTTGATTTCCTCTAAAGAATAAGTCTTACTTAGTCATTTGTAAACGTTGCATCAGCTTCACCATGGCGAAACGCCAAAAATCTTGATTACTCTGTGAGACAAGCTATTGTGAAGCTACACAATGAAAAGCACACCATTAGAGAGATTTCAGAGAAAGTGAAACGTTCCAAGAGTTTTGTAGGCAGGGTTGTTAAATCCTACAATGATACTGGCAAAATAGTTAGTGCTTTTAAAACCGGCAGACCCTGCAAAACTTCGGCAAGAGAAGATCGAATAATGCAGCGTATGTCATTAAAGGACCGTTTTAAGTCTTGCGCAGAAATTAAAAAATGGTTATGAATAGTACCTCATGTGTTAATGTGTCAAGACAGACTGTTTGTAGACGACTTTGCAAGAAATAGGGCTGTTTAATCGAACCCCAGGAAGAAACCACTTGTTAGTTCGAAGAATAAGAAGAAGAGATTAGAGTTTGCAAACAGGTATGTAATTTGGACATATGAAAATTGGGCAAAAGTATTTTTCAGTGATGAAAGCAAGTTTAATTTATTTGGAAATGATGGAAAAAACAATGTAAAGAGACGTATTGGTGAAAGATTAAGTGCAAAGTGTACTAAGAAAACTGTCAAGTTTGGGGGCGGAAGCGTCATGGTATTTGGAATGTTTTCTAGCCAAGGTACAACGCCTCTTGTCCGGTTAAAACTCGTGTAAACGCGCAGATCTATAAAAACATTGTTCAAGATTTGTTGTGCCAATCATACAGAATTCAGGTTTCGATAGGGCTACCTTTATGCAAGATAATGCCCCATGTCATGAAGGCAAAGGTGGTAATGAGTTACCTTAGCGAGCAAGATTTGGAAATTATGGATTGGCCACCGCAAAGTCCTGACTTAAATCCAATAGAAAATCTTTGGAAGACCTTAGGAGTGAAAGTTATGGAAAGAAATCCCACTAACACGGAGGATTTGTGGGGTGAAGCTTCAAGAAGAATGGTCTAAAATTAGTATCGAGGATTGTCAAGAACTGATTCGTTCTTGTAGTCGAAGATGTGCAGCTGTCATTGAGAGCAAGGGCTCATTTACTAAATATTGATTGTACATGTATTTTTATTTTTATTTTTTTTGCCGTTTACATTGTTTTTCTCAATTTTGTCCCTTACTTTTGGACGTTCCAAATTTGAAAATAAATAAATAATTGTTATAATTCTTTTTGCTATCAAATTTTAGTATGTTATGATTCAAATTTTAGTATGTTATTATGGATGATAACGACTACCAATTGTTACAAAATAAATTATAATCAAAAGGAATCCTTTTCTTCTTGATTTTATTTATTTTATTAATTAATTATTTATTATTATTCTATAGTCTATATTGAGATCTTGGAAATTTTGTCCCTTCCCTTAGTTGCAAATACATATATATATATATATATATATATATATATATATATATAGTACAGATAATAGATCCGTTGGTATATAATCCAGGTGGATCCTAGTAATATCAGATATTAAATCTGATCCACAGAGAACTCAATATATTTATTATAACAGAGCCTATACTCTATACAGAAACAAATCCCAAATTACCTCATGTGGTTATAGTCTGTTTCAAATTAACACTGCTATGTGCCAGCTATCCTCAGCACAAGACTGTCTGGAAAACAGGTTCTTGATTTCCAGACACGCTTGAAATAGACTATACCCACATTCTTCCTTGGAATCTGCCTTTTTTCTTGTGATATTTTCTGTTATTTCATTAATTTTGATTGTAAAAATGATCTCCCCACAACTACCATTGAGCCAGGAATTTATATCCCTATTTTCCAGGTGTACAAAACACTAAATTTGTGCATCCGTAAAAATTTAGTAGACTTTGATTTATTTTGTTTTAATAAAATGGTATTAGGCTTTATATCTCAGTGTGTATCTCACATCATATTTTTAAGGCGTGCCTTGTTGTCACTTGATCTCAATTCTCCCCCATCTATTTTAATCGAAACCTTAAATTTACACATCAATAATTCCCCCCCCCTAAACACACAAACACAATTTTTTCATATGCTCACCATACACTGCAATACAGAAGGAGACTTATATTACGTAACAGTTGAGTTGTCTTTTCTGTGACTGTGATTGTCAGAATGGATGGAATTAAGGAATATAATTCGTGAAATCAGTTGCTATAGATAGATAGATAGATAGATAGATAGATAGATAGATAGATAGATAGATAGATATATAATGAACAGACTGAGAGAGATAGATGGATGGATACATAGATAGGGAGAGATAGATAATAAACAGACTGAAATAGATAGATAGATAGATAGATAGATAGATAGATAGATAGATAGATAGATAATGAACAGATTGGGCTAGATAGATGGATGGATAGATAGATATGAACAGAATGAGACACATACATACATACATACATACATACATGATAAACACGTTCTGATAGATAGCTAATGAACGTACTGAAATAGATAGATAGATAGATAGATAGATAGATATGAACAGTCTGAGATAGATAGATGGATAGATAGATATGAACAGAATGATATATATATATATATATATATAGAGAGAGAGAGAGAGAGAAAAAGTGAGCGATAGATAGATAGATAGATAGATAGATAGATACGTACATAATACATGATAAACAGGTTCTGATAGATAGATAGATAGATAGATAGATAGATAGATAGATAGAGTCAACGATGAAATTATTCGTAAACCCATCAATTTTGAATATATCTATACATGATTCCACAAAAGTATTGTTTGAACTCTACGCTTCTTTTTTATTTTCTGTTAATCAAATATATCAGGGACGTCTACTCGTAATATAGGGACTTTGTTTTATATCTGCCTACACCCTTTCATATCTATCTATCTACCTATATCCGTCCGGTCCTATCTATCTATCTATCTATCTATCTATCTATCTATCTATGTCAATTCGTATCTATCTATCTATCGTTTCTTCCACAAAGCAGCAGCTCTGGGGAAGAATCGGTGAATATGGCATGGCGGTGCCTATATGTGTAGCTATGATGTGGTTGAATAAAGAAGTGTATAGGGATTTACAAAGATTAGCAGTGGTACTATGTATCTATCTTTCTCTCTATCTATTGTGGGAATATCCACTATGGTTGTGATGTGTATCGATACTTTATAGTAAATATTTATGGGCACCTGGAACATTTATCCCGCAAACAGTATTGGCGGACTCGCTGTGAGTCCGGGTAAAAAAGAAACGATGAAATAAAAACAGACGACAATTAACAAAAAGAAATAAATGTGTACATAATAGAAATGAAAGGACAAGACAGCTATTAGTGTGTGTGTGTGTGTGTGTGTGTGTGTGTGTGTGTGTGTGTGTGTGTGTGTGTTCATATGTCAACAGTGCACCAAAAAACGAGCTCGCCCCAGCGGAAGCGTTCTTTGTCCACGTTCAGCTACACATGAAAGCAAGAGTAAAAGAAGAATAGACAGAAAATGTTTGCCTTTTTATAGGCTTATGGAGAGCACCGTAACGGGCAATTTTGTCAAAGCCAAGTGGGGTAACATATCTATCTATCTATCTATCTATCTATCTATCTATCTATCTCAACTCAATAAAACTCAATTTTCAGAAGAATAGTTTAAATACAACAAATTTGACAGGCGAATTATTCAAAACAGGGAAAAACAAAAAAAAATTATTCGTACCGTAAGAAAAACAGAAAAATTGTACAATTTTCCCAATATTAAAAACAATAACATGGCCTCTCATCTTCATAATTTGCAGTTATCTTTTCCTAAAGTTTTGATAAGATCTGAGCAAGTTTTTTTCTGTGATTTTTTTTTCTATTCTTCAGTGGTTACACGCTCTAATTTCTGGAGTTTTTTTGCTGATCAACGATTTATTCGAACTTGCAATTTTTGCCATAGATTTTCAATAGGATTCAAATCAGGACATTTTGAAAGCCATGGCAGATCTATAATCTTCTTTTTTCTGAAGCTATGCAGTCACTGATTCCACTTATTGCAATTGATTGTCCAGTCCCCCATAAGCTAAAACCACCCCAAAACATCACGGAGAGGCCTCCATGCTTTAATGCTTCGACTGTGTTCTTTGGGATGAAGGACTTGCCTTTCTTACGCCAATTCTGTTGTATATATGTGATTGGTATCTTGTTTACAGTCGCTCTCTCACGGACGTGCCGTCGCCTCTCTCTGTCGTTTCTACAAATACTTTTACGGTAACTGCTCCGAAGAGCTAATTTCGCTGGTTCGCAAGCTGCATGAATTTAAACGTGTTAATAGGTTGGCACCTGAGTACTACCCTTTCCCTGTCGAAACGGTTAAGTGTAGCTGTCTCTTCTACCCCAATAGCTTGATTTCGGGCACTTCCCGTCTGTGGAACTCTCTTCCTCTTACTCGCTTCCCTGATAGCTATAATCTCCAAGTATTCAAATGCAATGGCAATCGATATCTCCAGATGCCTTGACCTATTCCCCGTCCTTCTCATCATCCTTTTTTTTCTATCACGCCTCTTTACTTATGCTCCCACTCTCTGTGACCTTTTGTTTTGGGGGAGTTGCTTTAAAAAAAAAAAGAAAAAAAAGCCCATTTTCTTTTTCATTATTCCATAGTGCTCTTTCCTAAAATCAATTTTCTTTGTCCAAGAAAATTTTGACAAAATTAAACCCAGCAACAACGTGACATTGTTTGTGAAAAGCGGTTCATCCTGGTCGGTTTCCATAGAAGCCATTTCTATTTAAACAACGTTTTATTGTGCGATAGGCTGATACTCATCCTATCCAAATTTTTGGCGATGTCTTTCAAAATAACTTTTAGGTTTCTATTAACCTCACGACACAATTTTCGTGCAGTACTCGGTGGCCATTTAGGTTTTCTACCACGCCCAGGTAAATTCTCTGTCGTGCAAAACTGTTTAAACCTTATAACGGACTCTACCCTAGATCTAGGGATAGCTAACCGGTTTGAAATAGAGCTGTAACTATTTCTCGACTTGTGGAAGTAAATAATTCTCTGTCTCAAGTCAACACTAAGCTCCTTTGTCTTCACTATCGTGTTGCTAACATACGAATAACAATGGTGACACTATGCGTCACGTGATGTTCTTTGCTGGACTTATCACAAATATAAACAGTCGAGAAGGCATTATCGATAAAATAATTATATAAATTACTCATACTTACACGAATCAATCAATTTGAAACGATATTTTCTACTGTACGAATAATTTTTCTTTCCCTGTTTTGCATAATTCGCCTGTCAAATTTGTTGTATTTAACTTATTGTCCTGGAAATTGAGTTTTATATTGCTTTTTCTCTTTTTTTTTTCTTTTTTGTGCATGTTAACATATAAAAAACCGGGCGTCATACAGGCATTAGATTCACAATTGATGGGTCTACTAATATTTTCCTCGTTGACTGTAGATAGATAAGAACAGGTTGAGATATATATTTATAGATAGATAGATAGATAGATAGATAGATAGATAGATAAACACGTTCTGATAGATAGATAGATATAGATAGATAAATAGATAGATACCAACAAATTGATATATATATTTATATGCATGTGTGTGTCTATGTGTGAGAGCGTGAGGGCGTGTGTGTGTGTGCGTAGTGAGGCAGAGATAGATAGGATGTAAAAGTTGAATAAGACTGAGGGAAATATGAATAATCTGATATATATATATATATATATATATATATATATATATATATATGTGTGTGTGTGTGTGTGTGTGTGTGTATGTGTGTGTGCAGGTAAGGCAGAGATAGATAGATAGATAGATAATAAACACGTTCTGATAGATAGATAGATTGATAGATAGATAGATAGATACGAATAGGTTTATATATATATATATATATATATATATATATATATATATATATATATATATATACGATTACGATGTGACAGATAGGTAGATCGATATTAAACAGGTAGTGCTTGATAGATATCAGCATCGCCACAGTTTTCTTCCATAAATTTCTTATTTCTGTGAGTCTCCTTCTTCGATTTTGCTCGTAATTAATTATTTTCAAAAAATAAGAAAACGACTAAAACATGAATTTAAAAATGGTTGCGTGGCAGACGATTATTAAACTAAGAAACTGAAGCTGAAAACAATAATAAAAAAAGAAAGAAACGGTCTCCATATTTTCCTTGCGTGGCAGACGAATTTTCGGTTTTCTGAAATATATTCTTTATCTTTCAAGATGTCAGAATCGCAGTATCTTCGATAATTCATCGGATAAGAGAACATTGAAGCCTCAGGCAAATATACAATATAAAATATACGCTTATTTGTTCTTTTCTCTGACATAAAAAAGAGATTTTGGTTTTTGATTGAATGGAAATTCTATGTATTTTTATTACAAATATTTTTTAGCAGAACTTACATATTTCATCTCGGGTCGAGTATTTTATTGTCTTTTTACAATCGAATATTGTTCAATTTGTTTTAGTTATTATTAAAAAGAATCGATATTCCAATAATATTGGTATCAAAATCACTGAAAACTTTAGAAACAAACACAAACAAATATATATTGATACCAATGTTATATATATCTATATATATATATATATATATATATATTATGAATTGGACAAAGTCCGTCAATTATTTTAAGACATCTTTATGTTTATACATTCTTTTTATAGATACAAATATTTAAGTATTTATAATAATAAACAGTATTAAACTTTTACCGGCCTGAATGTACGAGGATGTTTGATAGAAAATATTCGTCCTCCGACAGGAATCGAACCTGCACCCTATACGGAACTGTCCTATAGCCTGACGTGCCTTAACCGTTTCGGCTACAGAGGAGCGTTCGGCTAGCAAGGTCGAATTTCATGTCTTTAAACTACAATCTTCCTTGATTTTCTAACGTACATTCATATCTGCTCATGACGTATCGAAATGTAAACAAATGACGTCACACATTATGAAATGGACATTTGTTTATATTTGGATACGCCATGAGCAGATAAAATGCATTGTTGGTCATTTCGGAATCAATTGATTTGTTGCTAATTCTGGTATAAATAGGTATTGGTTTTATAAGGTTAGACATTATTAGGAGTATTTGAAATGATCATAATTAAAGTAATTCATCAACAGAATTCAGAAAGAACTGGACGGCCGTTTCGTCTTATATTTGGGACTCATCAGCAGCGCGTATCCACTACGGAGAATTGAACCCGGACTGTTACGATACGACTCAAACGTCATACCAACTGTATCAACGGGCCTCGGTGACGAAGGGGTTGCTAATTAGACTCGATCTCTCGACGCTCTTCACAAATTCCTTGGTGTGCCCCCACAAGCCACGTCTGCTCTCTCTCTCTCTCTCTCTCTCTCTCTCTCTCTCTATATATATATATATATATATATATATATATTATGAAATCCGTCAATCATTTTAATATATACGTTGCTTATGCGTCATTTTTATAGATACAAATATTTAATTAAATGTTATGTTTATAATAAACAGTATTAACGACATTTACCGGCTTGAATGTCGGAGAAATCTCAAAGAAAATATGTGTCATCCGACAAAAATCGAACTTGTATCCGACACGGAACCGTTATATAGCCTTGCATTCAAAATCATTTAGCTACGGGGGTAGCGATGGTTAGCAAGGTTCAATTACTGCTTTTAAACCACAAATTTCCCAGCATTTGTTAGTAACGTTCATATGTTTTGGAAGCGTATCTTAACGCAATTGGACCTTGCTGAACAAACGCTTCCACTGTAGCTAAATGGTATAGCACGTTAGGCTATACGACAGTTTTAGAGTATTTGCTTAAATACTTCTATCTGTAAAATAACATATAAACAATATATATATATATATATATATATATATATATATATATATATATATATATATATATATATAAGGCCAAAAACAAATGAATACTACAGATAAAGTTCACTTTCTTCATAGATAGTTATTCACTACTGTAGTTCAAGAAGGGATTTTCTCCGTGATGATGGCCAATATGGCCGAGTCTAGCCGAAGAACTTAATTCAAATAATAAAATAAAAATAACAATATACAACCCAATGCGTCTGAAAATACACACACACACACACACACACACACACATATATATATATATATCCATCTCATCCTGTTCGTATCTATCTATCGATCTGCCTGTCTCAGTTTGTTCCTTTGTTTTTTACTATAGATCTCAGTTTGTTTGTATCTATCTATCTATCTTTTTATCTATCTCTTTATATATATATATATATATATATATATATATATATATATATTCCAGTTTGTTCCTTTCTTTCTTTCTACAGACCTCAGCTTGTTCCTATCTATCTATCTATCTCTTTATATATATATATATATATATATATATATATATATATATATATATAGTCATTTTGAATGATTATTTTATTTTTACTTTTAACTGCTTATCAATTAAAAGTTAAAATAATTTATACTAACTAAAAGTGTAGCTGAAAAGAGATCGGAGTTATACAACATTTGGACAGTTTCTACACACACACACACACACACACATATATATATATATATATGATCAGCAAATATGTAGGAACTTGTGAAAACTTTGCGCTGCCATTCTCTCTTAAATATATTCCGTCCATTATATATATATATATATATATATATATATATATATATATATATATATATATATATATATATATATAAATATAAAAGACAGTTTTCTTGGGTTACAGTAACCCTATAACTGCGTGTTTTAGTCTTTTTCTTATTTATTTGCGCAAGCAACTCATATTCTCTGTCATATTTGAAGCTGAGGCAATAAATATTTTCATTAATTTTGGATTTATGTTTCTTGCTGTTTCATCAATAAACATTTCTTTCTCGTCTTCAAATATTCCTTCCTTTATCTGTTTCCTAGAAAATTGCTTTTATGAAATAAAGAATTAAATATATTATTATTACCATTATTAGAGACCATTATACCTTCTTTTATACATGTTTCGTTCAACAAGAAATATTTGTTTTTTTTATATTTTTTTAAGCTAGAATTTATTTTGCGTGTTAAAATTAGTATTTAGTATTGCTGAAGTCATCTATAACATTTTTGTCGCGTTTTACAAACTGTACATTTCGTTCAATTTCGCAAACCAATCGATGAAATTTGAATAAACTGATTTTTTTAAAAAAATACTTTGACAAAAATCCTATTTCGCGGTTTAATAATTTCTTTAATTTAATTTAATTTTATAGGACGTCATAGTAAGAAAATCTTTGAGATTTTTTTCCTTTTCTCTTTTTAACAGCGAAGAATAAATTTTTAGGATTTCTTACTCTTGAGCATTCAACATACAACCAGCTGTGCATAAATATTTCTTTCTTAAGCCAAGTTTGAATTGTTTGCAGCATTTGGTTTATAGTTCTCGTAAATGTATGGCGAACTGGAAACTGAAGTCTGACCCATTCGAAATTATATTCAGATGGATTTAGAACAAACTTTATTCCTGGGATTAATACCACCCATTCTGTTACACGGTTCATGATAATAGGTTGTTGTTAATATTTTTTGGTTCGATCGGCCGATATAAGGCTATTTTAGGATATGTGTATAAAAGCTAAGCAGAGTATTAAGAAACAGGAACATTTCATTGGAAACAAAGAAAAGACTTTCTGAAATGTTACGTGATATTTGTTCACCTGTATGGCTGGACAATCGCCTGAAAGATGAGGAAGAGATCTAAAGCAAACAAACTTAGTTCTACAGAAAGATATTGAGGATGCCATGGTCCGAAAATTTGAGTAACGACGAGGTTTTACGGAGAATGGAAACAAAGAGAATACTTATAGTTAACACCAGGAAGAGGTAGTTGAACTATCTGGGGTATTTTATGAAGGAGGAGGGCTTGGAAAATTTGATACCCTCAAGACAGCGGGAAAGAGGGACAGAGGAAATCAGCACGTAATGTCCTTGATGGGGTTGAGCAAATTGATGGCGGAATATGGTTTGAGAGAATTAACAAACAGACAATACTTATTAAGAGCTACAAGGTTTAGAAAGCTGCAAAGGACAGGAAGATTTGGAGGTCCATGAACGCCTATGTTCTGAAGGAACACGGCATATAAAAGAAGACAGATTGACAGAACACTCTGAATTTATGAATATATTTTTTCCGCCAGGTGTATAAATAATGGTGTCAGGCTACTGACTGCGGTGATTATTGAGTGACTCTTGTGTGGAATTATCCAGTCGAATTAGTGTGCATCGATGATTTGAGTTTTGATTTAGGATTTACCGGACGTTAATTCGAGCCGCGCTACTAACAAGGTATTCACTGAAATGATTAATTATCTTTGCTTCACTTTTACTTCTTTGTTCTTATTTGCTTATATCAGTCCGCGTATATAAACACAACGAAATGCAGATTTTATCGCACTTACTATAAATTTGTCTTTGCAATTTACCCCTGAGGATTATCTTGAAGAAGATCGTGAACTAGTGTTTTAGAAAAGATTAACATTGTATGCGAGTTTATACTTGTTGAAAACGAAAATAATAAACAAAAAAATTCTAGTAGCACGCTTAAATTCATGTAGTCGAAGTACCAATGGAAAAAAAACCTTAAGGAAAGTAACCATGAATATATTTGTAGAAAACAGACAGGGAATCCACGTCAGGTGAGATTTAAAAGGGGTCGGAGGACTTAATCATACGTAATAACTCTAGTGTTTCGAGAGAAAAAAGAGACACTATTGTATATCAGTGAAAATGTCCTTTGGGAGATTTTATCTCTGAGAAAAATATGTCTATATGTTGACTTGACGACTACAACATTATCAAGACGACTTACACTTCATTTGTTAGATAAAAGTTCTGTTGCACAACATTTAAAAACACATTCCAGTTCACATTTGCAATACAGGAAAATATTTATTGACAACGCCAATACACTAAACTATAAAATAATAAACCAAAACTTCGCTGATGAAGATGCTGAATATAACATCAATAAGCTAAATGTATTGATATATATATATATATATATGTGTGTGTGTGTGTGTGTGCGTGTGTATGTGTGTGTGTGAGTGTATGTATGTATGTAAATACATACTTGCACACTTAATAGGACTTTTAAAAATGTTTTATTGTTAGTATGTATTTAGGTAGCATATCTTCACTTAAACATGTTTCATTGAAGATTAGAGACATATTGTGTCTACCTATTTTTATACTGATCCAATCCGGTTGTCTTATCGGATTCATGATGTTAAGATAAAATTCATCAAGGAAGACTCCATGTTTTTTTTTATTTTTTTATTTTTGTTTTTTTGGTTTTTTTTTTTACCAGAGTGCTTTCGATCTTCTCTAGAATCATCTTCAGGAGTAAATTATAATTTTAACTTTGCAATTATCTTGGAGAAGACCAAAAGTACATAGGTTAAAATATGGCGCCTTCCTTAATGAATTTCATCTTAACATCACGAAAATGATTAGACCATTTGAAAGGATCAGTATAAAAACAATGTCTATATTATTCAATGGAACATGTTAGAATATTTATATATGTGTGTGTGTATGTGTGTCTGTGAGAGGGAGAGTGAGAGTGAGAGAGAGAGATGCACATTAGAAAGTACTGAAAACATTGGTACCATTTTTAAAGAAGTAAAATAATGCTTAGGCTTTTACCTGTCAAGACGTTGATACAAAGATACAGTAAATGTTTAGCAGTGTTTTTTTTTTTTTTTTTTGGTTTCTTTTATATGTATATATGTGCGTACTTTTGCGTACTTGTGTGCTCATGTGTGTATGTATGTGTGTTGGGTGGATATTGTCTTAGAATTCAGCTTATGAAACGACAGGAAGTCATGCCGAACGTTGGCCTAGAAATGCCAAGGTCTGTCGGTATTACGGATCACGCGGGAAAATGTTTCTTGGATGTTGCCCAGATTGTGTTTGTTTTTGTTCTTACATTTTTCTTTCTTTCTTTCTTTCTTTCTTTCTTTCTTTCTTTTTCTTTTTAATCTCTCTCTCCTTCTCTTTCTCCGTTTTTTTTTCTTCCTCTCTTTCTCTCTTTCTTTCTTTCCTTTTTTTCATTCTTTCGCAGTCTTTCCTTCTTTCTTTATACGCCTTTTTTTCTTTCTTTCTTTCTTTCTTTCTTCCCATTTTTCTTTCTTTCTTCCTTTCTTTCTCCACTCTTTCTTTCTTTCTTTCTTTTTCTTTCTTTCTTTCTTTCTTTCTTTCTTTCTTTCTTTTCTTTTTCTTTATTTCTTTTTTTTTTTCTTTCTTTTCTTTCTTTCTTTTTTCTCCTCTTCTTTTTCTTTTTTTCTCTTTCTCTTTCTTTTTTTTTCTTTTTCTTTTTTTTCTTTATAAGACTTTTTTCTTTCTTTCTTTTTTCTTTTCTTTTTTCTTTCTTTCTTTCTTTCTTTCCTTCTTTCTTTCTTTCTTTCTTTCTTTCTTTTTTTATTCTTCCTTTCTCTTTTTTTTTCTTTTTTCTTTTGTTTCTTTTTCTTTTTTTCATTCTTTCGCATTTCCTTCTTTCCTTTTTTTTCTTTTTTTTCTTTCTTCCCATTTTCTTTTTCTTTTTTCTTTCTCCTTTCTTTCTTTTTTTCTTTCTTTCTTTCTTTTTTCTTTCTTTTTTTTTTTCTTTCTTTTCTTTCTTTTCTTCTTTTTCTTTCTTTCTTTCTTTTTTTCTTTCTTTCATTCTTTCCTTCTTTTCTTTTTTCTTTCTTTTCTTTCTTTTTTTTATCTTCTTTTCTTTCTTTCTTTCTTTTTTTCTTTTTTTTTTCTTTCTTTCTTTCTTCTTTCTTTCTTTCTTTCTTTCTTTTTCTTTCTTTTCTTTCTTTCTTTCCTTATTTTTTTCTTTCCTTTTTCTCTTTCTTTTTTTTTTTTTTACCTTTTTTTAATTTCTTTTTTTCTTTTTTCTTTTTTTCTTTATTACACTTTTTTTTAATTTTCCTTTTCTTTCTTTTCTTTTTTCTTTCTTTTTTCTTTTTTTTTTTTTTTTTCTTTTCTTCTTTCTTTTTTCTCTGCCTTTCTTTGTTTGTTTCTTTCTCTCTTTCTTTCTCTCTTTCTTTCTCTCTTTCTTTCTTTCTTTATTTCTTTCTTCCCTTCTTCCTTTCTTCTGTTTTTTAGCAGTTAATCTGCTTACTCTCTTTTCTTGTATATCAATATGAATGCTTGGCTCAATATATTTTCAAATTCTCTAAATGTATTATCATTATTAACATTATTTTTATTATTATTACTTCCACTGATTTCTGTTGCCGACACATTTCCATCCGGGTTACAACCAGATCTGAGGTCAGAAATGGCTTCATGACATTTTCCACTGATCATTCTTGTAAAAACGAAAACAAAACAAAGATCACACACATTTTTCGTAAATAAAGCTTTTCGTGTTTTGTGAACTGTTCTTGTGAGTAGAATATTTGTATTTCTTTCTACCAGAAACGCCATCAATGAGTCTATCAGAACCTTTCCATGCAATCCAAGAGCTCTAACAACAACTGGAACTACTGAGGTCCTCAAGTGTCTCAGTTTTGTGATATCCATTTCAAGATCCTTGTATTTTGATAATTTTTTGAAGATCTTCAAAGATACGTGGTAGTTTATTCTACATGTTTTTTTACATCGATTTACATGTCCTTGTGATTTGACATATTGTTCATGATTATTATTATTATTATTATTATTATTATTATTATTATATGTGATTCTTCTGTATACTATTTCCTTACGCGTCCACAAACATAGACCTAAGGAGAGAAATAGCCACATGACATTCCTACAGATCGCTTAAAAATAACCAAAACAAAATCCAAGATAACCAAAAAAACAAAAGAAATTAGAACAAATAAGAAAATGACCTAAAAATAACTCAAAATAATAAAAAATGAAAAAAAGAACATATATATTTCACTGTTAAAGAAAAGAGCACTGAACTGTTATCTAATATCAGTCCTCCAATATGGCAGTGAATGCTGGACAATCTCCTCACAGATGAAGAAAAGACTTGAAGCAAGAGAAACAAAGAAAAGAGTACTGAACTGTTATGTAATATCAGTTCTCCTATATGGCAGTAAATGCTGGACAATCTCCTCACAGATGAAGAAGAGTCTTAAAGCATGAGAAACAAAGAAAAGAGTACTGAACTGTTATGTAATATCAGTCCTCCTATAAGGCATTGAATGCTGGACAATCTCCTCACAGATGAAGAAAAGACTTGAAGCAAGAGAAACAAAGAAAAGAGTACTGAACTGTTATGTAATATCAGTCCTCCTATATGGCAATGAATGCTGGACAATCTCCTCACAGATAAAGAAGAGAAATGAAGCAAGAGAAACAAAGAAAAGAGAACTGAACTGTTATGTAATATCAGTCCTCCTATATGGCAGTGAATGCTGGACAATCTCCTCACAGATAAAGAAGAGAATTGAAGCAAGAGAAACAAAGAAAAGAGAACTGAACTGTTATGTAATATCAGTCCTTCTATATGTCAATGAATGCTGGACAATCTCCTCACAGATGAAGAAAAGACTTGAAGCAAGAGAAACAAAGAAAAGAGTACTGAACTGTTATGTAATATCAGTCTTCCTATATGGCAGTGAATGCTGGACAATCTCCCCACAGATGAAGAAGAGAATTGAAGCAAGAGAAACAAAGAAAAGAGTACTGAACTGTTATATAATATCAGTCCTCCTATATGGCAGTGAATGCTGGACAATCTCCCCACAGATGAAGAAGAGACTTGAAGCAAGAGAAACAAAGAAAAGAGTACTGAACTGTTATGTAATATCAGTCCTCCTATATGGCAGTGAATACTGGACAATCTCCTCAGAGATGAAGAAGAGACTTCAAGCAAGAGAAACAAAGAAAAGAGTACTGAACTGTTATGTAATATCAGTCCTCCTAATATGGAAAGTGAATGCTGGACAATCTCCTCACAGATGAAGAAGAGACTTGAAGCAAGAGAAACAAAGAAAAGAGTACTGAACTGTTATGTAATATCAGTCCTCCTAATATGGAAAGTGAATGCTGGACAATCTCCTCACAGATGAAGAAGAGACTTGAAGCAAGAGGAACAAAGAAAAGAGTACTGAACTGTTGTGTAATATCAGTCCTCCTATATGGCAGTGAATGCTGGACAATCTCCTCACAGATGAAGAAGAGACTTGAAGCAAGAGAAACAAAGAAAAGAGTACTGAACTGTTATGTAATATCAGTCCTCCTAATATGGAAAGTGAATGCTGGACAATCTCCACACAGATGAAGAAGAGACTTGAAGCAAGAGAAACAAAGAAAAGAGTACTGAACTGTTAAGTAATATCAGTCCTCCTATATGGCAGTGAATGCTGGACAATCTCCTCACAGATGAAGAAGAGACTTGAAGCAAGAGAAACAAAGAAAAGAGTACTGAACTGTTATGTAATATCAGTCCTCCTATATGGCAGTGAATGCTGGACAATCTCCTCACAGATGAAGAAGAGAATTGAAGCAAGAGAAACAAAGAAAAGAGTACTGAACTGTTATGTAATATCAGTCCTCCTATATGGCAGTGAATGCTGGACAATCTCCTCACAGATGAAGAAGAGAATTGAAGCAAGAGAAACAAAGAAAAGAGTACTGAACTGTTATGTAATATCAGTCCTCCTATATGGCAGTGAATGCTGGACAATCTCCTCACAGATGAAGAAGAGACTTGAAGCAAGAGAAACAAAGAAAAGAGTACTGAACTGTTGTGTAATATCAGTCCTCCTATATGGCAGTGAATGCTGGACAATCTCCTCACAGATGAAGAAGAGACTTGAAGCAAGAGAAACAAAGAAAAGAGTACTGAACTGTTGTGTAATATCAGTCCTCCTATATGGCAGTGAATGCTGGACAATCTCCTCACAGATGAAGAAGAGACTTGAAGCAAGAGAAACAAAGAAAAGTGTACTGAACTGTTGTGTAATATCAGTCCTCCTATATGGCAGTGAATGCTGGACAATCTCCACACAGATGAAGAAGAGCCTTGAAGCAAGAGAAACAAAGAAAAGAGTACTGAACTGTTATGTAATATCAGTCCTCCTATATGGCAGTGAATGCTGGACAATCTCCCCACAGATGAAGAAGAGACTTGAAGCAAGAGAAACAAAGAAAAAGAGTACTGAACTGTTATGTAATATCAGTCCTCCTATATGGCAGTGAATGCTGGACAATCTCCCCACAGATGAAGAAGAGACTTGAAGCAAGAGAAACAAAGAAAAGAGTACTGAACTGTTATGTAATATCAGTCCTCCTATATGGCAGTGAATGCTGGACAATCTCCCCACAGATGAAGAAGAGACTTGAAGCAAGAGAAACAAAGAAAAGAGTACTGAACTGTTATGTAATATCAGTCCTTCTATATGTCAATGAATGCTGGACAATCTCCTCACAGATGAAGAAGAGACTTGAAGCAAGAGAAACAAAGAAAAGAGTACTGAACTGTTATGTAATATCAGTCCTTCTATATGTCAATGAATGCTGGACAATCTCCCCACAGATGAAGAAGAGATTGAAGCAAGAGAAACAAAGAAAAGAGTACTGAACTGTTATGTAATATCAGTCCTCCTATATGGCAATGAATGATGGACAATCTCCTCACAGATGAAGAAGAGAATTGAAGCAAGAGAAACAAAGAAAAGTGTACTGAACTGTTATGTAATATCAGTCCTCCTAATATGGAAAGTGAATGCTGGACAATCTCCTCACAGATGAAGAAGAGACTTGAAGCAAGAGAAACAAAGAAAAGAGTACTGAACTGTTATGTAATATCAGTCCTCCTAATATGGAAAGTGAATGCTGGACAATCTCCTCACAGATGAAGAAGAGACTTGAAGCAAGAGAAACAAAGAAAAGAGTACTGAACTGTTATGTAATATCAGTCCTCCTATATGGCAATGAATGCTGGACAATCTCCTCACAGATGAAGAAGAGAATTGAAGCAAGAGAAACAAAGAAAAGTGTACTGAACTGTTATGTAATATCAGTCCTCCTAATATGGAAAGTGAATGCTGGACAATCTCCTCACAGATGAAGAAGAGACTTGAAGCAAGAGAAACAAAGAAAAGTGTACTGAACTGTTTTGTAATATCAGTCCTCCTAATATGGAAAGTGAATGCTGGACAATCTCCTCACAGATGAAGAAGAGACTTGAAGCAAGAGAAACAAAGAAAAGAGTACTGAACTGTTATGTAATATCAGTCCTCCTATATGGCAGTGAATGCTGGACAATCTCCTCACAGATGAAGAAGAGACTTGAAGCAAGAGAAACAAAGAAAAGAATACTGAACTGTTGTGTAATATCAGTCCTCCTAATATGGAAAGTGAATGCTGGACAATCTCCTCACAGATGAAGAAGAGACTTGAAGCAAGAGAAACAAAGAAAAGAGTACTGAACAGTTATGTAATATCAGTCCTCCTATATGGCAGTGAATGCTGGACAATCTCCTCACAGATGAAGAAAAGACTTGAAGCAAGAGAAACAAAGAAAAGGGTACTGAACTGTTATGTGATATCAGTCCTCCTATATGGCAGTGAATGCTGGGCAATCTCCTCACAGATGAAGAAGAGACTTGAAGCAAGAGAAACAAAGAAAAGGGTACTGAACTGTTATGTAATATCAGTCCTCCTATATGGCAGTGAATGCTGGACAATCTCCCCACAGATTAAGAAGAGACTTGAAGCAAGAGAAACAAAGAAAAGTGTACTGAACTGTTATGTAATATCAGTCCTCCTATATGGCAGTGAATGCTGGACAATCTCCTCACAGATGAAGAAGAGAATTGAAGCAAGAGAAACAAAGAAAAGAGTACTGAACTGTTATGTAATATAAGTCCTCCTATATGGCAGTGAATGCTGGACAATCTCCTCACAGATGAAGAAGAGAATTGAAGCAAGAGAAACAAAGAAAAGAGTACTGAACTG